GTCTGGTTGTTATCCTGCACATATTGTTGTGATACTGCAAGCTATGCCACCAGGGCTTCAAATGCCAGCGGGGTCACCCATAGTCAAGAGGTTTCAGTAGAGCTTCCGCTCCAAGATAGATTAGGGGAAAAGGTCTAGGGATCTACTTTTAAAAGTTAGCCAATAGAAATCCTATGGATCACAACAGAATATTGCCCGATGTGCTTGCTTTGGACACATCATCAGGAAAGATCACTGACTGGAGGAGGACATCTGGTTTGGTGACGTAGCAGGCCAGAGAGGGCGGAGGAGACTCGCAGTGATATGGTTGACACAATAGCTGCAGCAATGAACTCAAGCATGTGGGGGAGACCATCTTGAGGATGAAGAGACCAAGCAACCTCTTTTTCTCTTGTACCTACGGTTGCTGTGAGTTGGAGCTCAGTTGACAGTAACTGTCTCTAGCTGTCGATCTAGCTGTTGTCTGCCTATCTTATCTATCAGTCATTCACTCAGTCTAGATGGACAGATGGATGGAGGGATAGATGTTGTGGTTGTTAGGTGCCATCGAGTCGGTTCAGCCCCATAGCGACCCTGCACATTAGGGAACAAAACACTGCCCGGTCCTGCTCCTGCCTCACAACTGTTCCTGTGCTCGAGCCCATTGTTGCAGCCACCACAGAGTCCATCCATGTGGTCGAGGGCCTTCCTCTCCTTCACTGTCCCGCCACGTTACCAAGCATGATGTCCATCTCCAAGGACTGGTCCCTCCTGACAGTCCAGCCAAAGGATGGAAGATGAAGTCTTGCCGTCCTTGCCTCTAAGGAGCGCTCCGGCCTTACTTACTTTTTCCAGGACAGATCAGTTTGTCCTTCAGCAGTCCCGGGTACTTTCAATATTCTTCTCCAGCACCGTAATCCAAATGCATGGAGTCTACTATGGTCTTCCTCATTCAGTGTCTAACTTTGAAATACCAACTGAAAATGTCATGGCTTGGGCCAGGTGCACCTTAGTCCTCGAAGTAACGTTCTTGCTTCTTAATACTCTACAGAAGTCTTGTGCAGCAGATTTGCCTCATGCAGCCCATCTGTTGTCCTCTTGACTGCTGCTTCCAGGAGCGCTGATTGTGCGGTCAAGCAAGACAAAATCCTTGACCACATCAATCTTTCGGTGATTCTCATTACCGGCACGTGGCACATGCATTAATCAGCAGAATGAGGCATTGTCAGCGGTGTGGATCATAGCAAACTCTGGACAGCCTCGAGGAGAATGGGAATTCTGGGACATTTCATTGTGCTCATGAGGAACCTGTACATGGATTAAAAAGCAATTGTGGGAACAGAACAAGAGAATACTGCTTGATTTAAAATCAGAATAGGTGTGTGTCAGGGTTGTAGCCTTATTCAATCTGTATGCTGAGCAAATCATCAGAGAAACTGGATTATATGAAGAAGAAAGTTGCTTTAGGATTCAAGGAAGGCTTATTAATTACCGGCCATATGCAGACGACACAACCTTGCTTTCTGCAAGTGAGGAGGACTCGAAGCACTTGCTGATGCAGACCAAGGGTTGCAGCCTCCAGTGTGGATGGCAACTTGCTGTAAAGAAGACCCAAAGCCTCACACCTGGACCAACAGGTAACATCATGAAAAGCCGTGTGGACATGAACAGATAGTTCTTCAAGAAAGTTATTCAAATGGCTAACAAACACCTCCAAACTTTTCACAATCTCGTTAGCTTTCTGAGAGATAAAAATCAAGACAAAATTTCATTTTGGGTCTTTAATGTCTGATACCTGATTCCATTGACACCTCATGATCACACAGGCTGATGTGTTCCTTCCATGTGGGCTTTGTTGCTTCTCAGCTAGATGGTCCCTTGTTTATCTTCAAGCCTTTATGGCCCCAGGCGCTATATCTTTTGATAGCTGGGCACCAACAGCTTTCTTCACCACATTTGCTTATGCAACCATTTTGTCTTCAGCAATCATGTCAGGGAAGGTGAACATCACAAAGTGCTGTGCTAGTAGGACAAAGTGTTCTTGCGTTGAGGGAGTACTTGAGTGGAGGCCCAATGTCCACCTGCTACCATAAAACTTTATAAATAAATATATGTACTTAGCTCTATTCCCCTGTTATTGCATATAAATGTATTTACATAAATGCATACATCAAAGACACCAAACAAACAAACAAACAAACAAAAATCATATCAATGGGAATGAGGGGAAGGGCAGAGTGGAGCCCAAAGCCCATCAGTAGTCAATTAGACACGCACTGTCAGAATGGCCACAAGGAAGAAAAGAGCCAGTCAGGGTGCAGTATAGTACCGATGAAACACACAACCTTCCTCTAGTTCCTTAATGCTTCCTTCTCCTCCCCTCCACTACCATGACCCCAATTCTATCTTATAAATCTGTCTAAACCAGAACATGTATACTGGTACAGATAAGAGCTCACAACACAGGAAATCCAGAACAGATAAACCCCTCAGGACCAATAAGGGGAGCATTGATACTAGGAAGATAAGGGTAGGGGGCTGGGGAGTAAGGGGAACCAATCACAATGATTGACATGTGGTCCCCATGCCAGGGAGATGGACAGCAGAAAAATGAGTGGAACGAGACAGCGGTCGGTGGAAGACATGAAAAAAAAATTATCAAGGGGCATGGGGGGGGAGAGAGGGCAGGGGAGGGTGTAGGAAATGAGGAACTGATGCCAGGGGCTCAAGTAGAAAGAAAGTGTTTTGAACAATATGACGACAACATATGTACAGATGTGTTTGACAAAATGGATATATGTATGGATTGTGATAAGAGCTGTCAGAACCCCCAATAAAATAAAATTTAAATTTTAAATAAATAAATAAAGGCAACTGTGAGAGACCACTGGACACCAAAAATGACAGAGCAGTTCTGGAGGGGGTGTGGAGAGATTGGAACTCTCATACAGTGCTGGCGGGTCTGTAACTGGGTACAGACATTAGGCACAGCAGGATGTTGCTAATTGGGAATGGAAATTCTATACGATCCAGCAAAACTTCTGCTGGGTATATGCTTGAAAGAAGTAAGCTCTGTTCACAGTAGCAAGTAGTTGGAAATCTCCCAAAAGTCCATCAGTCGAAGAATGCATAAAGATACATTGTAGGGTATGCAAATTATAGGTCAACAAAACTTTTTAAAAAAGAAAGAGCCCTGGCTTCAGCCTTTCCTCCTGCCGGTTGCTGTGACCTTGCTGATGTCCAAAGCAGCGTCGGAACTCTGAGATGGGGAGGGCCGAGAGAGGAGAAGGGAGAAGCCAACTCGTCCCTTCTTCCTGGAGCTCCAGCCCTGCCTTTGGGGAGGGCATATCTTGACTGACGATTCCAGTGCTGAATCAAATCTTTGCCTGGACACTGAACATTGTTAAATTAAATCATTACGTTGGAGATCTAAATGGACTGTTAGGGTTGTCTGTTACCTCTGCTTTAAAAAAAAACCTAAAACTTGTGATTGCAGAGCCACTTCTGAATCCTGAAGGTGTCACGTGTCTAAGAGTAGAACTATTTAAGGAAACAGAGCACAAAGCCTTGCTTCTTCAATGTCTTTGGGTGGGTTCAAACCACCAACCTTTCAGTTAATAACTAAGAGCAAGCCTTCTGTGCCACCCAAGGACCTTTGGTTCCCTATAAGTTAGCTTAAAAATCCTGGGGCTGC